GTCTCTGAGAAAGCAGGTCCTTCCTCAGAGGAATGGGCCATGGAGGTGCTGTCACGAGGAGCATAAGTTCTGGGAACCAGGTCTGGTTGGGCCAGTACGGCGCAACTAGCAAGGCCTGCTCCTCGTCCTCCCTGACTTTGCACAGTGTCTGTGCGAGAAGGCTCACTGGGGGAAACGCATATTTGCGAAGGCCCTGGGGCCAGCTGTGCACCAGTGCATCCGTGCCGAGGGATCCTCCGGTCAGGGAATAAAACAACTGGCAATGGGTAGTGTCCGGAGAGGCAAACAGATCTATCTGAGCGGCTCCGAAGATTCCCCATATCAGCTGAACCGCCTGGGGATGGTGACAGTGCGGGGTAATGCTGACCCGGAACGTGCCGCTCTGCCACGCCCATCTCGGGACTCGATCGTGAAGCCAGCGCTGAAGCGGTCTCATATGCAGCAGGCCGAGCGGCATTACTGCGGCTGCGGCTGCCATATGCCCCAGGAGCCTCTGAAACTGTTTCAGTGGGACCGCTGACCTGCCTTGAAAAGGCTTGAGGCAGTTGAGCACTGACTGGACGCGCTCCTCTGTGAGGCGCGCAGTCTGACCGACCGAGTCCAACTCCATACTGAGATAAGAGATCCTCTGCATGGGGCAGAGTTTGCTCTTGTCCCAGTTGACCTGAAGCCCCGAACGGCTGAGGTACTGAAGCACAACAGATCTTGCGAGTGAGCTATTATAAGCCAGTCGTCGAGATAGTTGAGAATGCGAACGCCATGTTCTCTCATGGGAACAATGGCCTCCTCCACGACTTTCGTGAAGACACGAGGCGACAGGGCCAAGCCGAAGTGTAGGATCTGTACTGATATGCCCGACCCTCGAACGTAAACCGAAGAAATGGTCTGTGTCGAGGAAGAATCGAGACATGAAGTACACGTCAAGAGACAAGAGACATCAAAACACGCAGGTCCAGGATTGGCCGTAACCCACCGCTTTTCTTGGGTACAATGAAGTAAGGGCTGTAAACCCAGACCTCATCTCGGCTGGAGGGACCGGCTCGATCGCGTCCTTCGCCAGCAGGGCGTCGATCTCTTTCCTCAAGACAGGGGCATCGACACTCCGCACTTGGGTGAAGCGGATACCCCTGTACTTGGGGGCCAGCGGGCAAACTGAATTGCATAGCCGAGCCGGATGGTATGGATGAGCCAGCGGGACAGCCTCGGAAGCGCTAGCCAGGCTTCGAGAGACCGTACCAACGAGCCGACCCGGACCACCGGCGTACCCGCGGAGGGGCAGCGAGGTGGAAGGCAGGGACCGGACTCCGGAGGCATTGCTGCGGCCGAGAGAGGGGTCTGGGTGTGCGGGGCAACACCTATCTGCTTCCACCGGGGGGCAGGCAGCAGGGAAGGCCCGTCTTTCTCTGAGGCGTTCGGCTGCTGGCTGCCCCGAGGCGAAGGAAGGAGGGGAAACAAGGAGCGAGGCCCGAAGGCGTCGAGTCCAGGTTTCCGCACCTTCTTGCCCAGCGGGAGACGAGAGTGACGAGGCCGTGGCGGCGTCACTGTCATCTGAGCGATGGAAGAGGGGGAGAGGAGTGGCAAGGCATGGGAGCGTCGCTCACTGCAGTCCGCACCTCTTGTGACCCAGAGATGGAAGAAATTGCTCTATTGAAAATGTGGGTACCACTGGACTCCGGGCAGCCAGCGGCGGAACAGAAAATGAACAAAGATTCTCCAACCGGCCCTCCTCCGGGGTAGGGAGAGGTGAGGACACCATCTCCCGGAGAGCAACTTCCTCCAACTCTGTGTCGCCCGTCTCAGGGCTGCTGAGACAGGTGGCGCCGTCTTCCTGCGAAAGCTAGACGTCACAGTAGAGCTGGCTGTGACATCTATTCCACAGGGGACTGACACCCTTGGCGACATACAGACTGAGGAGAAAGCGCGAGTGACTCGGTAGCACATCGGGTCAAGCTCTTGGTCTCCTCAACCTGCTTCTGAACTGTGGAGAGCCGCAGGGCACAGTCTCCAACAGTGTCGCCGAAAGAGGCAAACCTTGTGAGATAGGAGCACCGAGAAAGCGAACTTTGGCGATGTCTCGCACCTCTGCAAGGTTTAGCCGTGGGACACTTCTGGACCACCAGTGTGGACATCGTCTGACCGAGGGCCAGTGCTTTGACTTAAACCATTTTCTCGGTCAGTCACAATGCACAGCTCAACCCCGACTCAGAACTACCCTTGTGTACTGCGTGTTTTGGCCTCACACAGACTTGTAGTGGGGAAGAGGTGGTCTGCCATTAGCAAAGCCACCCCACCACCAAGGGTAGTGAGAGAGGAAAAAACTTGCTCTGCAGATTTTGGCATGTTTGGCTTTCCACATTGGCACCAATATGCTTCCATACTGCTAAAGTTTTTTCACACACATCCGGGCAGGCAAGGGGGTGGGGCAAGGCGATTACGCGTCGCACAGCGCCCCCAGAGTAGCCCGGGAAGTGTGGCTGTCAAGTCTGAATCTGATTCAGCATGAGTACACACACCATTACAGTGGGAACTCAGCATCATCATTTCCAGAGTGTAACAGCCCTCTCTCCGATGCAGCGATCGACATCTGATCCTCCCCTGGAGCCCCGAATGAAATAGCTGGTCCCTCATGAGAAGGACCAGAAATTCCACCCGAAAGCTGCCAGGCATGCAAAACAGTGAACGTGGCCATAACCTTGATGGCACAGGGCACACTTGAGCGCTCAACCCCTCGTGAGAAAGGCAAAACGAACAACGTGCCGACGTGGTCATGCTCTCATAAGAGAGCATAAACCACCCACGAACACAGTCTCAGCATGTTTGCGATGCGCTAGAGGAGTGAGGGGTCCGAGGAGGTGGTCTCTTCGGAGAACGCTCACTGTAATCCTCAGATCACCAATCCTATTAACCAAAGTAGCCCTTTTCCGGTGGCCACCAGAAAAGGAACTACATCGGGGAATAGGCAAAGGGACTCCACCTCGTTTGAGGCACTTGAGTCTTGACCGCGCATCTAGAGTGCCGAATGACGCTCACTGGGTTGCCGTGACAACCCGCGCTGTCAGCCGGCAGCTCGACGGCACACGGCACGCTGAGCGGCTCAAGCCTTTACGAGAAAGGGTAGACGAACAACGTGCCGACGTGGTCATGCTCTCATGAGAGAACATAAACCACCCACGAACGCAGTCTCAACATGCTTAAGCCCAGGGACGTGAAACAGTGATCGTGGCCACCAAATGGAAACGGACAGGAAACGACCGCATCCAGAAACACACGGGTGAAACGTCATCCTGAAAAGGACGCGATCTTCACCCCTGTTGCTCTTTTCAAAGAAAACGCTCTCTTATTGTGCTGAAGCACACAGGGATAAACGCGACAACACAGCGGGGAAACTGCAAGCCCCCTGTGCGCACTCAACCGAATTCCAGAATCACTGAAGGAGAAAATCAATTTTTAAGACACCATTATGGTGATCAGTGTTCGCTTTAGTTGGGCTCTTGACTCTTAAGCTGTTAACATTAGATTTTGTTTGGCTGCTGTATCTGAGCTATAACTGCCAGATGAACAAAGAGAAAAGTTGATCAGATGGTGTTGGTTATGTTTTGACATAATCATAATTTGATCTGAATCACAAATCTCATTTAGAGAGTTATGTCTATCTTGTTGATTACAGCAGACTGTGATTCTACGGTAAAATGGTTTTCAATATAATCCAAAATATTTCTTAAAAGTTGTTCCGATCAGAAGACTTTGAAATAGTATTTTATTTAGACACACTGATATCAATAATCAGCCTGTGAATCTCAACAATGGTGACAATAATAAAGCATGTTGCAGTGCATTCTGGGTGCCACCAATCAAAACTCATTCATGGCTCCCATCATGCATTGCGGTATGAATAAATTATTATCTGAATTGTCTTAGTAATTTCCTTTCCCTAATGGCATATTCTTTTTGTCACCATTGTTGAGATTCATACACTGATTCTTGATGTCTGTGTGTGCCTAAAAGAAAGATTTTGTTTTATCAGAACAACTTTTTAGAAATCCTTTAGATTATTTAGAAAATTCTGGATCTTATGCTGTAGAATCACAGTGATGCTGAAATCAACAATATACATTTAAATCAGAGATTAGACTCTAAATGAGTTCAGTGATTCAGGACAAATTATGATTATGTCAAAACATAATCAAAACCACCTGATCAACTTTTCTCTTTGTTCATCTGCCAGTTATAACTCAGATACAACAGCCAAACAAAATCTAATGTTAACAGATTAAGGCCCAACTAAAGCAAACACTGATCACCATAACGGTGTCTTAAAAAAATGATTTTCTCCTTCAGGTGTCTTCAATAATGGTCAATCATCACTCAATGAATCACTTAATGAGCTCATTAACTTTAACACTCTTGAATGTTAATTTAACACTCTTGAGTCTGGAGCCATATTTAACACTAGAGTTTTTTGCTGTGTACAATATCAAGAGACAGACTCTGCTAAGCCATTTTTTTTTGTGTAAAAGTTGTTGTTTAAAGGTTTTAATGATACCTTAATTATTTAAGGTAGATTTTAACTTATCACTATATTTGAGTAGCCTTGAAATAACCTTGAAATAAAGGAAATAAAAGTTTTGGCACAAGGGTACAAATATGTACCCTATGCCAAGGGTACAAAATCTGTACCCTTGAGTATACAGCCCCAGTGACAAGCCATTGTACCCCTAAAGGTACAATTATGTACTTTATTTTCTGAGAGTGTATCTTTCAGCATACAAACATCCAAAAATTTAAGTTTTGTACCTGTAAATATTATGTATTAATACCTATTTACAATAAGACTCGGCTGTGCCAACATCATTGACATTTTTTTATCAGAATGTTACCTTTAAGCAGCAATATTATGTCAAGGCAAATAAGCCTGTTTAGTCTCAAAAATTTGTATTTTCCCTATATATTTTATATACTTTTTCTTTGACTTACTTTCCTTATTTTTCTCCTATCTGCAGATCATAAGTAAAGAGTCTCTGTCACCAACATGAGTTGGAGCTTTCTCACTCGACTACTGGAGGAAATCCACAACCACTCCACGTTTGTGGGGAAAGTTTGGCTAACTGTCTTAATCATTTTCCGGATTGTTCTGACTGCAGTGGGAGGTGAATCAATCTACTCAGATGAGCAGACAAAGTTCACCTGCAACACTAAGCAACCTGGCTGTGACAACGTATGCTATGATTCCTTTGCCCCACTCTCACATGTCCGGTTCTGGGTGTTCCAGATAATAATGATATCCACCCCCTCTGTCATGTATCTGGGTTATGCCATCCATAAGATCGCCCGTACCTCGGAGGAGGAATGGCGTAAAAGCCAGATTTATCAAAAGAGGAGCCGCAACACTCAGTGGAGAAATGGACATCACCTAGAGGAGGTCTGTGGAAATGTAGATGATGAGGAGGAGGATACAGAGCCAATGATCTATGAAGAAGACACTTTGGATGTGCAGGAGGTCAAACCAGAGACGGACAAGGGCAAAGGCCTAGATCCAATAAAGCATGATGGCCGCCGTAGGATAATGCAAGAAGGCTTGATGAGAATGTATGTGCTTCAGCTTTTGTCCCGTGCCATCTTTGAGGTGGCATTCCTCACGGGTCAGTATCTCCTTTATGGCTTCCGTGTTAACCCTTCTTATGTCTGCAATAAGATCCCATGTCCACACAGAGTAGACTGCTTTGTTTCACGACCCACTGAGAAGACCATCTTTTTACTCATCATGTATGTGGTGAGCTGTCTTTGTCTGCTGCTCAATGTTTGTGAGATGTTCCACTTGGGGATTGGTACCTTCCGTGACAGTCTTCGTAAACGTCGAAACCAGGGCCAACAAAATTCTTACGGCTACCCTTACTCTAGGAACATTTCTAGTTCTCCACCAGGGTACAACCTTGTGGTTAAATCTGACAAACCAGGTCGCATTCCTAACAGTATCATCTTACATGACCAGAACATGGGCAGAGTTGTTTCAGAACAGCATTGCACAAGTCCTGATGAGAATATTCCATCTGACCTGGCTACCTTGCACCACCATTTACGAGTTGCACAGGAACAACTTGACATGGCATTTCAGACATACAACACAAAAAATGGTCATCTTTCCAGAACTAGCAGCCCAGTATCTGGTGGCACAATGACTGAGCAGAACCGGGTCAATACAGCTCAGGAGAAACAGGGTGCACGACCTAAAGCAAGCACTGAGAGGGCAGGGACAATAGTAAAAAATGGAAAGACATCTGTGTGGATTTAATGGCAAACTCTTACCTGACTAGTTGAACCATTATCCTCAGAAAACATTTTGTCCCAGTAAATGGAAACTACAGTCAGAGAGGGCATGATTGAGCATCATGTCCCCAGGTTGAACAATAAACAAAAATGAAAAATAAATATTGTAGAAGGGTAGTATTCATTTCTAAAACTCTCTTTACAATGCCTTAATGTATTCCCCCTTTCAGAATAATTCTTAATGTGCTTTTATTTAATGCTCTATATATTAAGTGTTATGCTTCTCTATATTCCAAAGCATGCACGTGTATTGACCGTCTTGGAAATCTGTTAAACAATTTAGTCTTTAATGGATCATTGATTTAATTGAACTATATAAGAACAACCCCTATGTATCTACTCCATTTAAATAGTCCTCATACCTGTAAGACACATGTTCTTCTTCTCCTAGTGTTATTAGTCTCTGGCTCTGTTCCAAACCCAAATGAGCTGACCACCTAGCCCTAAGTTTTAAGGTATTTGCATGCTGGCGATGCCAAGGCTGTTCCAGTCAGTAAGCAACAAGATTATGCTCCTACAATTCCTAATTTAACATCAGCATCACACGTATACTTAAAGCAATATAATTGCTTGGATAAAGCAATCCCTGAATGCATTGTAATAAAAGTGTGATCAAATATGGCGGATGCAAGTTGCAAGAAACTCAACTATAAATATACTTGCTGTACATCATATACAAATTTATTAATTAAAATGGTTATCTTATAAAAAAAAATGCATTTTCACACAACAAGTGTCTGTGCTATGTATTTTTGGCCTTGTTACAACATCTTTATTATAATTTAAAAAAAAATCTTTGGCTTAGCAATATATGTTGTTTACACCAAACTCAATTGGAATCAATTGTGAGCGTCAATTTTCTTGTATGATCACATGAAGAGTTGTGCTGATGAGTGATCTTTAACATTGTTGTTATGTAAAGTGGTTTCACATTGTATGGGATACTGCCTTAAAAGATAGCAGCCTTTTCAGACAAGGTTTTGGAACAGAGCCTTTAACTCAAAATTATGAGAGAATTTAAATTTTGGGGTGGAGTATCCGTTTAATTAATCTTAAAAAATATTATGATGATTTCCAATTTTTTCAGTTTCTTCATTCTGAATAAACATGTAAACAATATAAATGTGCATTAATAGCTTCTGTATGCATTCATATTATGTGGCACTAAAATGATGCATTAAGTTTGCAATGATAAATTGTGCAATTGTCTTATGAAGGTATTTTAAATGTGCAGTTCACCCCAAAATTTACATTTGTCATTATTTATTTATCCTCATGTCATTTCAAAACTCTAACTTCTTTCTTCTGTAGAATAAAATTTAATTTCAGTGAATGCGGACAGAGGGTTCCATGCTACAAAAAGGATGCTTCAAAAAACACATTAAAAGTATTATAAAAGTGGTCCAAATTGTGTGCTATATTCCAAGTTTTCCCTAGCCATACAACAGCTCTGTTTAAATCATTATTCACTGAAAACCTTGGCATTCGAATTTATGACAGTTCATGAGTGAAGTAGCATGTTAATGAGGTGGCAGTGTGCAATTTGGTGTCAGATGTTTTTTTAATTGATCAATGTAGTTTACAAGTCTGAAGTTTGACTGTTTTTGAGTTTGACTGACTCAAAGACTTTTGACTTAAAAGGTTGTTGGAGAAGATGTTTGTCAATAAATAGCAATTTCAATTTCATTCTGTCTCTCACACAAAACTATCATATGACTTCTGAAGACTTGAAACATAAAGCATGAGTCATATGGACCACTTTTAGCTGTATAAGCGACTGTTGTGAAGCTTAATGTGACCATTTATTGTAATTGCATGGACAAGAGCAGTCAGTACAAAAGCTGCTTCTTTTGTGTTTCATTGAAGAGGAAAAAGTCACACAGTTGTGGAACAACATGAGGGTGAGTAAGCAACAATTTTTAGTTTTGGGTGAACTATTCCTTTTGAATAAGATATATATATATATATATATTTTAATTATTAAAAAATTAGCTGGTATTATTTGCATTGTTCTTGTTCCTTGTCAAATTGGGAGGTGTCATTACATTATTCATCAAATAAAAATACATAAGCCTGAATGTCAGCATTAAGTTGGGCAGGTAATCTTCATCAATGCACACCTCATCAGGGACGCGGTATAGCCATTCTGGGACTAGGGTGTCCAAAAAGGTGACTTAAAGCAGCATTACTTGTGATTAAATTTATTTACTATTGTTTCCAAGACCATTATGCATACAATTTATCTCTGAGCTGTCTGGAGTAAAATATATCCACTTTACCTTTTGGCAAATTGGTGAAAAATTCTTATGAATACGTATAATTTGATTCTTACGAAACAGTATAAATATCCACCCATAAACCTAACCCTTAGTGGGGTGTAAGCAGATGTACGACAATGCAGGAATGAGATTTGCACCAATTCACCAAAACATACAATAGTTTTGAATTGCCATGAAGTGTGTAGGGTGTAACTAATATACTGTTTTTTTAAGGAACTATCACGAAATAAGACAGTTGCAGCTGCTTTAACTTTGATGTTTAATAATAATCACACTTAATAATTCTTGAATAGGATTTTTGAAAGAAGTTTTGAAAGCTCTGAAATATTTATTGTATATTATGGAAATGGATTTGAGTACTATGCAGTAGGTCAGGTCTTCAACATTTATTTTAGAATCACTGTTCCAAAATGTGCCTTTACCAATTACGATTGTACTGATGATTTGTTTGTGGTTATTAAGAACAATAATAAATGTAGGATTCATTTATCAAGATTCTTTGCCTGTGAGAGTGTTTTGAATCACGGATAAACGTAATTTTCTTCTAGTATATACTGTTCACAAAAACAATATTTCAGAGATATGTATTATTAATGCTCTAGCTAAATATTTAAGGGGGGTACCCACGAGACTGAGCCCCCCCCCCCCCCCCCCCCTCCTCTCCTCTCCTCCCCTCCCCTCCCCTCCTCTCCTCTCCTCCCCTCCCCTCCCCCTCCTCTCCTTCCCTCCGGAAGGACCAGTCACGGCGGCCGCTGTTGAAGATTTTATTATTCAGAAAACAAGTAATTTAGCCATATAAGAATACACAATTATTTCTCTGTCTAGGTGACTTTGAAAGCTGCAAGACCTTCTGTAAAAAGACCCTGAATGTCAATTCTATTCTGAGAAGTCACATGGTACAAGACCTTCACCCAAAACTATCTATAAGTGTATGACCATCTTTGGAAAAGGATATATGTATATATGTGAGAAGCTGGGCACTGATGAGGAGTGATCGCCTGCAGGAGGAAGGGATCTCCTGCTGGAGGGAGTGATCCCCTGCAGGTGGATGCTCGGCTTTGTTTGTTAATAAAGTCTAATATTTCTGGCATCAAAGATCTCTGCGAAGTTATTTTACAGAACAATTGAAACCACTTCAAATGGCGTAGTCGGCAGGATTGGCTTAGGAGCTGCGGGAGCCACGAAAGGCGACACTGGTGACTCACAGACAACAGTGGCCACTGTAATTTGAGGTGAGCAATTTTTTGCTTTTGAAAAAGTATGTGTTGTCACCAGTGAGCCAGAGTGGTAAGACCCTTTAAAAAGCTTCTCCAAATTTAAAGAACTGAAAAATTGAAAGGGAAAAAAGTATCTTTGATTCCAGAAATAATTGCATGCATTGTCTCTGTAGATGTCAAGTGGTTTGTAATAGCGCGGGGGAGCTCCCACTAGTCTTTGCCAGTGCTTAAATAATCCTGTGTGGATTGTTTGAACTACTGGTACTGATGATTTAGCGCAAAGGTTTTGTCGTACGTATGCAAGGATTTGCTGATATAGGATATCAGTGGTTTATCTGTGTTTACTTTGAGTATAGCATGCACACAGATGTTTAGCTTCCGGTTACCGTTTTGTTAAATATTTAACAGAAGCTGCTCAGGGAAGCTATGTTTAGCTTAACAGTTACCGCCTCGACTAGCGAGGGACTGCTCGGGTTAAGCTAAATCCTATGGAATAGGGGAGTTAGAAGTTCCCCTTCAGTCGCTCACGTTCGACGTGACGTCGACGTGACGACGTTAGGGGATCACTTCAGGGAGCCCTATCAACTTCGAGTATCTAAGAACAAGCCAATGAACGTTGGCGTGCGTGAACGCGTCACGCGCCCCCGCCCCGCAGCGCGGGTATAAAACAGGAAGCGGGCGCGAGCACCCACCGTCTTTCATTTCGGAGCGCGAGTTTCCTGTGACTGATGTCTAAAGATTCAACGCCTTTGAAGACTTCAAGGAAGATCTCTGTTCCAGTGTTGGTGTGACGGCGCGATCAGCGGTGGCCGCGAGCAGTGCAGCTCTCAACTGCTGTTCTCACAGCACTATTGTTTTTGTGTGTGTGTGTGTGTGTGTGTGTGTCCACACAGTGGCTACCCCTGGGCGCCTCAGCACTGTGAGAGTAATTTCCTTTTTTGTTTTTACTAAAAGAGCAACACAAGCGGACCCTGCGTCTTTTTCAAGATGTCATTCCGCTTGTGCGTTTCTGGATGCAGTCGTTCCCTGGCGCCAGCAGATGGTCACAATAGCTGCATCTCGTGTTTGGGCATTCGGCACGCTGAAGCAGCTTTTGTGGATAGTTCATGTTCCCATTGCGGGAATATGACTATCACAGCACTTAGATCGAGACTCGCTTACCTCAAGGGAGGTGCAGTCCCCTCGCCTATGCCCCGATCTAGTGCTTATTCTGCCCCGCAGAATAGGCCTACTTCGGCGCATGACCAGGGTGATCTGAGGATTACCGTGAGGGCTTCCCCGCCGAGGCAATCTCCGCGGGCCCCTCACGCCTCTCATGTGCTGTTGCCATCGGCGCCCCTTTGCGAACGGCTCGGTCCTTCTCCGGAACGACCAGTCGTTTCCTTTGGGGCACCAGCTGACGATCAGATGTCGATCGCAGCATCGGAGGGGGAGCGGTCATCTGGAGATGACGACTCGGCTGCGTTGCCCCCTTCGGGGTGTGTAGCGTTGTCCGAGCCGGATCCAGAATGGGCCGCTATGCTATCCCGGGCCGCCGAGAAGGTCGGGCTTGCGTGGAATCCTCCACCACGTCCCGAACCTTCTCGGCTGGACGATTGGTTT